AAATGTTTTGAAAAGATGTCTTATATAGGCTACCCTTGTAACAATTCTTTACTCGAATGTTTTACAAAAGGTGTTTTGTCTTTTGAAAAGGTGTTTCAAGGTTTTTGAAAGTTGGTTTTGAAAGTGTTTGTGAAGTGTGATTTGAAAATGGGCAAGTGTTTTCTTTGCAAATTGGCAAGTACTTAAGAGTTATCTACCCTAAAGTTTTCTCAAAGATTTTTGTTATGTTTTAAACCTTTTGACAATTTTGTTCCACCATTGCATTTGGTGGACAATCTTGTATTTAGGAGGTGAAAGGGACAGGCGCGGGTCATTGTTTAGACCATAATTGCAATAGTGTTAAATGTCTTTGGGCAATTTTTCTTTGAAAGGGATTTGATCATTTTAGGCAACTTTTTGAAAGCGTCATCGAGGGACTTATGATCATTTGATTGTTTGTTTTACCCAAAGAAATTCAACATGCAATATGGCCCAATTTATTTGAAGGCAACAAAGTGGAATACCCTAGGGATGCAAGTGTGAAATGTGTTGTCCATTTTCATGCTTATTTATCTTGAAATTAGGTCAAACTATTTTATTCGTTTTATTCGCATACAAACCCTAACTCTAGCATAGTATGTTTAGAAAGCGACAAAGTGCGAAATTTAAATTCCTACACTATTACAACACAATAATATGGGGAGGGGGGTACAATGTTTCAAATGGGGTATATTTAGACAAGAAATTAAACCTAGCTATTACATCATTTTCTTTGAATATTTACATTATAATCAAAAGCATAAATTAAATGGAAATGAAATAAATATGCAAGATGTAAAAGAATTTTTATATGTATGAAAAAGTATTATTTATGTAAAATGAAAAGAGAAATAAAAAGGTAGTATTTTTTGGAGTATTTTTATGTTTAGGGCAAAACCCTAATTTTTAATCAAAAAGGGATATTAATCAATTAATTTATATAATATTTACTATTTACATACAAAAATAAAATAAAATATAGTATATTTATAAAAATGTATTTTTAGTGTTAAATATTAATAAAAATAAAAATATGTATATTTTTGATATTTTTACCCTAAATGTATTAATATATATATATATATATATATGTATATATATACATATACATATATATATATATATATATATATATATATATATATATATATATATATATATATATATATATATATATATATATATATATATATATATATATATATATATATATATATATATATATATATATATATATATATATATATATATATATATATATATATATATATATATATATATATATATATATATATATATATATATATATATATATATATATATATATATATATATATATATATATATATATATATATATATATATATATATATATATATATATATATATATATATATATATATATATATATATATATATATATTTGCCTTGAGACACCTTGAATCGAGTTGTAGAACTTCAACTATATATATTTGCCTTGAGACACCTTGAATCGAGTTGTAGAACTTCAACTGCAAAATGAAAAAGTGAAAATGGTGGAACTTGTTAGAGGAGTTACAGGTCGTGTTTCAAGTCATGGTCAGCTTGCATAGATGCTAGGGAATGTGTGTGAACTGGTTTGGGCAAGAGAGCTTGAGGGAAATGGAAGATGGCACTCAAACTACAGGCTTGGCCCTGTTTTTGCAGTTCGAAGGTGATTCTGAGATTGGGAGTGTATGAGAGATGTTAGGGTCGTGTATTAGCTTGGTTATGATCTCCTGGATCTGTTTGACAAGTTTGCTTAAGTGTTTTTTAGCTGATATGAGAGTTGTGTTACAATATGCCAAGTTACTTACACTTTAAGCAACAAATGCCGAAGTTGTGTTCTAGGTCAGTAGAGGCCCCCTAATGAGCTGCATAATCCCTCCTTGATCAGAGTGTTTTGCTCATAATCTTGTGCCAATTAGATCTCATTTGTACTGCTTGGATTTTCAATTGGACATAAAGTTACCTTTTGCAAAAATGGAAGAAATGCTTTATCTATAAATGGATTAATCCTTTAGGCAATGCTTGAACTCATGAAACAAGGCCTTGGCACAAAGGTTTTGCATTGAATTATTGAGTGTCAAAGGGTTTTAGGACCTGTAATTTAGCACAAACTATGCTGACTTGAAAATGGCTTAAGTTATGAACATGTTCATGATCAATTCAAAAGTGAGTTTTTGCCAAATTGTGAAATTCGATTCTCTCAAGTTATGAGGTTGTTTGAGAAGTTCTTGGACATTTTGGAAATCTTGGAATGTGTACTACAATCCTTCTTTGAAATGCAAATTGAAATTCCAAGTGGAAGTGTATGGAAAATGGCCTTGAAGTTGGGTAGAAAACCTTGTCAAAATAGGTTAAAATTTCACTAAGTTAAGAATGGTTAGTGCCCTTATTCAAAAATTTGTAACTTGAGATACAAGCCTCAAATGAGAAAACTTTGTGAATCAAAGTTGTAGATTATTCAACAAGCTACAACTTTCATGTTTTGACTTTTGTTTGAATCCAAATGGATCTTGGTGAAAAAGTGGGGCAAAGTTGAGAAAAAATTAGGGTTTTTTATAACTTAGAAAAATTCTAAGTTATGAAAAATTCTAATTTCTAACCCTAATTTGCATTTTGTGATTTCTTGGTGAACAAGTTTCATGATTTGGCATGTTTTGATGAAAAATGAATCTTGACTCTTGATTTTGACCAAAAAGTCAAAGTTTGACTTTTCAGTGTACATTCAAAATTGATCAATTGACTGGGGAATTCAACTGTCAATCTTGTGTACTTGGGATCTTTTGAGTTTGTTGAGCATGTCAAGATAATTCCATGGGGTCCTTGAGTCCATATGTGAGCTTGGTTTGCCATTGGCTAGGTCAAACAGCCAAAAATTGCCTTTGTGCCGTCAAAACCCTAAAAATGACCATTTTGCCCTTTTGGTGATTTGATCAAATTTCTTGTGGAATTGTGATCCAAACTTGATCAAATGGTTCATGGAAGTTTATAATGTTGATGTGGGTCAATTTTCATGAGGTTTGACTGTCAATTGGTCACAGTTGACCTTTTCCCCAATACAGCTGATTTCTAGGTCAACTGTCCAATTGACTGGGCAAAACTTGGAATCAAGACTTGAAACTTGACATGGATAAACTTGGGAGTCCAACATGAAGCATGAAAGTTATCTTAGGCATTTTAGGTCAAAACATCTTTATGCAAACACAAACCCTAATTTGGGTCAACAGTGCAAGGAGAGGTCTTGAGCAGATGAAACCCTAACTGGATCTTGATCTCCAAGGGCTTTGTGGTGAGAAGTCAATCAGAAATGGGAGGGCAAATTTTGGGGTACAACAGTATGAAATGATGAGAGACTAGTATGATATTTATAATAAAACCTAACATACTAAACTAATGAGCTTTTCACAAATACCCATTACAAGTTAACTTAGGGTACAAGCTAACTTAAACAACTGGACATAACAAATAGGCTCAATTCAAAATACTAACAACCCTAGTATTTCGACACCCACATACTAGAACACACTTCGACTACAGTATGTAGGTCTTCAACACCAGCATGTGAACATACTTCGACTGCATGCATAAATCATGTCAAACCATAAGCTACTCTCCGACCATCTAGAGTTCAATCTAATTCTCACAAATCTCCATCTTGGAACAAACTCTAATATCAGAGAACAAAGTAGCTTTCTTCATGCAGCTTTATCAACTGCATACACTGGAAAAACTTGCAACTTGGCAATGTCTTGGTGATCATATCAGCAACATTGTGATATGTCGAAACCTTCATCAATTGGACTTCTCCACGTTCGATTACTCCTCTGACGAAATGCAGCCTCACATCGATGTACTTGATTCGCTCATGATAGGTTGAATTCTTCGACATGTGTATTGCACTTTGACTATCACATTTAACAATGATAACTTGCCCTTGAACTTTCAGCTCCTTAGCAAAACCTTCAAGCCACAATGCTTCTTTCACAGCTTCAGTTAAAGCAATATATTCCGCTTCAGTGGTTGATAATGCGACAACCTTCTGAAGTGTTGCTTTGCAACTAATTGTTGTACCAAACATAGTGAAAACATATCCAGAAATAGATTTTCTGGAATCCATACAACCTGCATAACCAGAGTCGACATATCCTTCGATTACTGCTTCTTCTTTCAAGACTCCGCCATAAATTAGGACTCTATTCAAAGACCCATTTATGTCGATAATTTCCAGAGACCTATTCCGTCTCAAAATAAATGTCGCGTTTAGAAAAAAAATTGTCTCAAAATACTTGTCTTTTTAGATTACCAATGCAATTTTATATTTAATCTTCTAATTGTACTCTCTAATAAATACTTTTAATTTATTATTTTCTCAATTAATATTAATGTTAATTTGAATACACCAATAACTAATTAAAATATTCTGGTAAAATCACTATTTTCTCTATTTTATTTATTACTGTTTTTTAATCGATGTGAAATGGTCAATTGCGAAAAATAATATGGAACGAAGGGAATAACTTAAAACCCCAATTACACGAATAGGGATCCTTATCCTTAGAATTTCGAATGAAAAGTTATCCTAACCGCTATTAAACTTGACTAGCCACGTTATTAAGAACTAGTGCACTTCATAATTAGCAACCCTTTAGTTCCCTAACCCTTTACGAGGAAAGTTATCCTAATCAAATTATGATCTTGTTACTCGAAAATGCAAATGTCGCTTCGCATAATCTCTCTATACATTCATTAACAACGTCTTACAGTACGTTTTCAAGACTCAAATATTAATTACAACAATAACAATTAATGGGAAAAAAAAACTGTGAACTTGAAATCCCATTATCTACCCTTAATCTTATGCTACTAGTGTATGAATGCTCAAAACTTCTCACTAAGATACAGTTAAAATATAATTCCAAACCTTTTAGGTACTAGTTGTTACTGGAGTATCAATTACAATGGCAGCTACTACTACTACTCAAACAGAAGAGTACGTGTCTTTGAAGATTCTGTTGAATGAAAATGGTAACAAAGTGTTGTTTGCTGAAGCTGGTAAGGACTTTGTAGACATTCTCTTTAGCTTCTTAACAATGCCTTTAGGAACCATTGCAAGGCTGGTAGAGAACGGATCTAGCATTGGACCAGTTACTGTTGGGTGTCTAAACTCACTCTATCAAAGTGTAGCTTCTCTTGATGTAAGTTGTTTCTGTAACGACACATTCAAACAAATGCTGCTGCGGCCAATTAACTCAGCGGAAGATTATTGCAACGCTCTTAAACTCAACATTGATGACACTCAACCCACCAAGTACTTCGCGTGTCATCATTATTGGATCGACAATCATGATTTGACAATATCATCATATAAAGATAAACATAAATGTTACTGTGGACGCCCTTTTACCACATCAGTTTCCCTTAAACATTCCGGTCAAGGATTTGTTAATTGTGTTACTACTTTTGTTATAACCGACGATCTCACTGTCATGCCAAACGGAATTGATTATACAAGCCTTAGTCTGCTGCAGGAATATGGCATAACAAATCCTAGTTCCGTAAAACAAATAGTTCTCAATGTTACTAAAGAAAAGGTTTTTTATTTGAATATTGCTTCTATTTTTAACTAATTTTCACACTTCTCAGTTTATTTTTGATAACCACTGTTACTATTTTACATAGGTGCTTGATCTGTTAAAGCATTCTTTAGTTTCCACCTCAACTCTGACAGACTTGTTTTTAAGGAAGAAACCATCCCTAGGGGGTTCAGTGTTTTTCTTGCGTGATGGACAAAGTAGCTGCAAAATCGAAATCACTGTGAAGCTAGTCATAAGAAAATCGGATGGAAAATTATTGTATGCTCAAGGGGAACAAGATTTTGCAAACATGCTTTTGAACTTTCTTACTTTTCCTTTAGGAGGAATTGCCCGAATATTTGGAGGGAAGTGTTCCTTGGGCAGCATCAACAGATTGTACAAGAGTATAGCTGATTTGGATGAAAACAAATATTTGTTATCAAATGAAGCTAAGAACATGCTTGTTAATCCTTGCATTGCCTCGCTTGTAACATTAAGTAAGCCGATATTAACAGTTCTGGAACCTAGTAGCGATAATATTAGCGTTCAGTTTTCTAGTCATTATGGTAAACCGATCTATACTGGAAAGATTAAGAAAATGAGTTTTGCTAATCTGGAGAGACCGGTGGATGGTTATGTGAAGGGTCCTGATATGTATGTTGCTACTGATGATTTAGTGGTATCACCATTGTCACCACTTTCAGCTTTTGGTTTACTTAACCGATTTAAAACTCCTCTTACTGATTTGAAGGAAAAAGTTGTCGTTATTGGTGCCAAAGAGGTAAAACATTTAGTTATTATTCTTCCCAATTTTTAACGTTTATAAATTGTCTTGTTAAGAGATTATGTTTTTTGCAGTGTCTTTGCATTTTAATGGCTGCTATGACTTCATCATCTGCCCTTACAAATGGATTGGCTCACATCTTAGCTGAAGTCAAGGAGGAGAAATGACCAAAGTTCAAATTTATGGGCGTGTTTTAAATTTATTAGAGGAAATTTGACATTGGACAAGTAGAACCAATACTTTCTTTACTGTTTCTTATGTTATTTCTATTCTGTAGCGTTTTCCTTTTAAGTTTTATTCTGATTTGAATTTTGAATGGCATTGTCTCTTCTTTTCCTAACATTCTTGTTTGAATGGTATTGTCTTTTATTTTCGTAACATTATTGTTCATATATTTGCAGTTTTTTATATTGGTCATTGTCACTTGGTAGAGTGAATTGGTTAATCCTAAACTTAAATTGTTGTTTTTAAATAATAAAATAATATTAATAAAATAGAGATTAGAGATATAAAGAAAATATAAAAAAATGAGATTAGAAACTAAATGATCCATTTGTTCAAACTCGCTATAAATAAAATCAACATAAGCACAAAAAATACATTAAATGTTATGGGTAATGTGAACGGGTAATGTGAACTCAACAAGAGTAGAGTCTTACGCTCATCATCAATTTTAACTTTAATATTCTCAATATCATAAATAGTCTTGCGAAATTTTGTCAGCAGCTCCACTATGGATTTGTTCACCATTCGAAATGAGAAGAGTCAAAAACTAGATCATATACAATGATTCAAGTTTTTCCCACATTGAAGCAACAGTCTGCTCTCTGGCGACTTCCCTTAGAACTTTATCCCAAAGCACAAGATAATGGAACTCATGGCCTTATCCACCATCTTGGTCTTTTCTGCTAGTGTAAGCCTTCCAGACATCAATGTCTCTCCCTTCAAAACATAAATACAGTTATCTTGAGTTAAAATTGCTTGTATATTTATTTTCCACAACCCAAAATTGTTGTCTTCAGAAATTTTGCGATCTCCCATTTAGCCATGGTGTTCACTTGTAAGCAATACCCCCTTGCCTAACGGGGTGGGCACCACTTGTTATGATAATGACAAGGTTAAATTTCAATCAACACTTTGATATGTGAAGCAAAGAACAATAGCAATCAAAATAAATGGTATTCAACAATAATAATCAATAAGCAAAAAATATAACAGAATAAGGCGAGAAAAGATGAAAGGTTTGTTTACCCAGTTCGATCAAAAGACATACATCTGGGTAGCGAGCTAATCTCTAATTCACTATATTCAGAATATTATTATAAGAGATTGCAAATGAGTTACGAGAAAATAGTTCTTGTCTTCATAGTACTCAAGAACAAACCCTGAAGGCTCACAAGAACAAATTAATATTTTCTACCTAAGCGTTTCCCAACCTCTCTAACTCTCAATATATGAACCGCTCAAACCCAATGTGTATTTCTCAATCCTCTTAGATAACTCTAAAGGTTTCTCAAAAACTCTTTCCGTTCTAAGTTTACCCTTGGAAAACCTTAAACCCTTATTTCTCTTTTTTAGCTCTAAAACTATAAAAATGTCATATTGTAATAATAGAAGAGATACATATTTATAATGACTAAAACCCAACAAATCTATAGCAAATCCCAAAACAAAACTCATTAATTGTTAGAATAAAATATTATAAATATCTTATAATATCTTTTATATTAATTTAGATTATTTCTAAATTAATATCAAATATATATCAAATATTCTAACTATAAGAACCATATTTGGTTTTGCATATGGCCTTAAGTTTTGATGATAACAATACATAGTTTCATAAAGAACAATTTTGTACCCTAATGGTTTTATCAAGTGTGCAGCTGAAAACATATAAGTTCTGACTCTGAAGAAGTGACATATGACGTAATCAGATTCTGAACTCAACGCACTATGACTCAAAGGAGATAACAAGATGTGTTTTTACTAAGAAAGTCAAGCTCTAGATTACTCTACTCAACGCATCTGAAATGCTCATCCAGAAAGCTTCAAGTTATGACTCCAGTATGGAAGTCTCTGATTTTTTCAAGCTCTTAAGTCTTACGCTCAACAAACTCTGAAGAACTATGTTATCAGACTCTAGATCAAGACTCTGAATACCAGGTGTTGTACCCCAAAATTTTCCCTCTCATTTATCAAATATTTTCTCACAAGGATCTCTCTTGGTTCAAGACTGCACTAGGATTGATCAGCTCAAGACACCTCTTTAAGCACTGATGACCAAAATTAGGGTTTGAGATTGCATAAGGATAATTGAACTTTCAATGCTTTAAATGAGTTTCATATATCATTATGGACCCCCAAGATTGCTCAAGTCAAGTTTCAAGCCTTGGATCACACTATTGCTCAGTCAATTGAGCAATTGACCTAAAAATTAGCTATATTTGGAAAAAAATTCAACTATGGCCAATTTACAGTCAAACTTCATAATTTTTATCCACATCAATATTATAAACTCACATGTATCATTTGATCAAGTTTGGACCACAATTCCCCAAGAAATTTGATCAAATCATCAAAAGGGCAAAATGGTCAAAATTAGGGTTTTGACTGAGAAAGGGAGATTTCTGATTTTTGACCTAGCAAATGGTCAATTAGTTTGAATCATGATTTCAAGAGTTCAATTGCATCATTTTTACCTAATGGCATGACCTAAAACATTGCTCAAGATCAATTGGATTGATAGTGAATTTTCAGTCAACTGATCAAAAAGTCAACTGTACACTGAAGAGTCAAACTTTGACTTTTTGGTCAAAATTCAATGTCAAAGATCACAATTCATCAAAACATGTCAAAATATGAAACTTATTCATCAAGAAATCAAAAAGTCAATATTTCATTTTGAAAAGGCAAAGTTTTCTAACTTAGAAACTTTTCTAAGTGTTTAAACTTCATGTTTTTTCATAACTTTAAGCCAATTTTTCACCATGATGCAAGAGGATTCAGAAGAAACTTTAAACATGAAATTTGTAGATCTCTATGATATCTACAACATTTCTTTACACAAATTCTCCTAAAAATGCTTGGATCTTAAGTTATTAATTCATAAAGTCATGGTCTTGAAATTGGACACTTAGTGAAATTTTGCCATAGTTTTGGTCAGGATTTTGACCTAACTTCTTGGCACTTTTTCATATAGCTCCAAGGGTAATTTTCAAAAGTGTTTTAAAGATGGGTTGTAGAGAACATTACAAGATTTCCAAAATGTCTAGGAACTCCTTGAGATCATTCTTGAGTAGGGAGAATCGAAGAGATGAAATTAAGGTTTTCACACTTGAATTACAAGTCATTTTGTGATGAACAAGAATTCAATTTCAAACCTATGCTGCACAATCTTGTTTTGCAGGCCTCTAAACCTCAAGATCTATCCATAATCAGAAGATTACACTTGCTTTTAAGCTATTATCCACTTGATTCAAGCTTTGTCCAAGTAAATTTTCCATTAATGGAACAAAGTTCACACTTCCATTTTGGAAAAGTGACTTTAATCACAAAGTCAACTTGAATGGAGATTTGCACCTTTTATTTCTACACGAGCATTCTCTATAAACTCAGAACAAACATGTTTAAAGTTGCAATCCACTCTACAAGACATGTACCTTGCATTGAAACCACGTTTTTCAAGATAACTTAAAAAACAAGTCAAAAACTCATAACATGTGATCTTTGTTTTCTGACCTCCTCAAGTCCTCTAACCTTTTCCATATAATTATACAAGTGCCTTGCAAACTAACACACTATTGAACAAGTCCTCAAACTCCCCAAAACCAGAAATTGCCATACAAGCACAAAAACTTGTCATTTCTGATTTTTGAACCCAACTTCCAAATCCCCTCGTGCGTTTCTTGGCCAAACCATCCACAAAGCTTCTAATACACATATAGAAATTATCCCAACCCCTGTTTTCAAACTGTAATACCATTTACAACATTCTCCATTTTCAAAAACAGGGCATTGCAGTTTGACTTCTTCAGCTTGATTCAAGAACTCCCAGCACAAAGTAAGCTTTGCAATAGCTTCCTGGAGGTGCAAGGAAGCTCACCCAATCATCAAAACACTTTGAAAGTATCTCTAACTCAAAACACGATCTCCAGCTGCAAGGTGAGTTTTCTGACTTTTCATCTCATTAATTAGGCATTGTTAGGTCTTGATTTCTGAAGATAAAATGTAGATAACGTTACCACGAAACTTTACATATTCATAGTTTGTATTAATATGGCCTGAGCTTAGAGAATTTTAGGGTTGAAGTTCTCTGAAATTTTTAGGTTTTTAATTAAGGCCAGAGAAATTCTCCTTCATTTTTTATCGTTAGCTTAATTTATTTACATGGTTGGATTCGTGGGAAGAAATGCCACAACTTTCATGTTTGAATTTTTCATTTTTATTGAGAGATGAAGAAGATACATGTCCTTTGGCTGGAGGTTGAAGATGAAGTCATTTTCAGGACTGGGTTGATGTTATGTATTTGTTGTTTTTCTTATATTAACGGATGTATAGCCACTCCAGCGGTAAAGCGCGCTCCTATTAACCTATGGGACCTGGATTCGAGCCCCAGTGGTACCCTTTTTGCTTATTTTCTCACATTTTCTCATTTTTGGTATTTGTTTGCAGCGCTGGGCCTCATCCCCTTGGGCCTCATTTTTTTTTATTTCTGACCCCCTTTGTTGGCTATTCACACCCCTGGCTCATTTTATTTTCTTTTTCTCATTTTTTATTTATTTGTTTTCTTAAATATTTTATCTAATACTAAAAAAATCAGAAAAAAATATAAAAAAATATTAGATTTATATTTTGATATAGTTTATTTATTTTTTACAAAATCATTTTATTTAATCATACTTTATTTATTTTATTAATTGATTTTTAAATTTAATTAGAAACTAGGTTTTTTAGTTATTTTCTTTTACATGATTAAAATATATTATTTTTAAATATAAAAAGACCAAAAATATTTTATAATACTATAAATTATTTTTAAGACAAAAATACTAAAAATATTCTTCTTGCAAACTTAATTTCTTTTTTAATCAATTAATAGTTAGATTAGGATTTTATTTAAATTCTTTTCCTAGTAAATCTATGTTTACTTTTTACTAACTTAATT